CTTCCTATGTGTGGCTTTGAATCAGCCTTTCCTATGGCTAAACAAGACAGTAGGGAGCTACTCTGGGGCCAGCCCAGCCAGCCATGCCCTACGCAGAGCAGAAGCTGTCCGCTGTTTCCAGCTGTGCTCACCAGCCAGGAACATGGATCAGACTGTCTCCTGCCTCCTCTTGGCTTGATGACACAAGCTCCACTCAGCAACCTCTGATGCCTTCCAAGGGCAAAGATCTCCCAAACCTGTTTTTTAAGCACTTTCCATGTAAATCCTGGTAGCCAAAATTACCTTTTCCTTTTCAATATTCTCCTCCATGAAACTCACATCCTGGCCAAGTGATTTGCTTACACAGGTGCTAGCACATTTACCCAGGTATTAACATGGGTAAAACAATTGCCTGTGCAGATGAGCAGCTGAAGGGTCGAGGTGGGAAGTCCTTCAAGCTGTAACCCTTGCAGGACAGAGAATAAAGCTCTGTCTTTTATCTGAGGATAAAGAATGTGGGCTCAGTTCCGCAGTGGAGGCTGCTCCACACAGGCTCTGCACCGCATGATGTAAGGAGCTAAGTTTGGACAGGAGAAGTCCCACACTGGGTGAACCTCACGGACAATTTTAGCTTATGAATGAGTAAGCAGAGGCATGTTCTCAGCCAAAACCACTGAAGGATGTGGGTGACATCAGCAGCACATGAGCTCAGAGAGCTGCGCTCAGAGCTTAGGCATCTTCCCAGGCATTTGCTACGCTTAGAGCAGTGTGGAACCAGCCTGTGCTGTGTGCAGAGGGACGGTGCCACATGTCTCACAGTTTCCCTTCAAATCTGCTTTCTCAGTCATAAAAATTGTGGCTGGGTGCCGAGTTTCAGATTAAAAAAAAAAAAAAAAAAAAAACAACACACAGCACAGTTCGAGCATCCAAAAGGACTTTAGCTGCATGAAGTCAAACCAACAGGCTGCCTGTTCAGTTAAATGAATGACCAAGCCCGATGAAAACCTTGGCACTGGGTCAGGAATGAAAAGCTGAAATGCAGGCTTCTGCTTGAGCTCTGCCCAGGTGAACAGGTTCTGCCCCAAGCTGCTCCATCCCCACAGCTTCTCCTTCCACATCCACAGGGAGGCTCAGGGAGCGTGGCACAGAGACAGCTTTGTTGCCTGTCTCAGGAATTCTTCATTTTCTGTGCATGGCCAAACTCTGTACGATCCATCCAAAGGTGGGGACGCAGGCCCTCCTGGACACAGAGGCCAGCCCCAGCAGTGACGCCCACCTTTCCCACAGGAGAGTGAGGACAGCAGCACATCCTGTATGCTGCTCTGCAGCGCTTGGCACCAGCAGCGCTTGGGTTTTGCGCTTACCATCTAACCATGCACATGCGGGACAAGCAGAAGCACTGTTGCTGGGACAAGCATTAGCACCAAGAAGGCTGCTCTGTATACCCCTTACCACGCAGCTCTGTGCACGGCCCTCAATTCAATAGCTTGGGAAGGGTGGGAGAAGCAACACGGGGTGCCACCACTCAGCCACAGCTGGCACAGGGCAGCTCCAGGAGACCTGGGAAGAGGACCTGAGGGACAGAGGACATTCATGAGACAGTCATGTCTCTGTCCTGAGAGAGGTCCCAGAGAAGCAGGACAGGGCAGGACATCTGACTACCCACTGTCAGGATCCTCACCTCCATAGCTGCTTCCAGTTTTGTCTCATCACTCCCCTCTGACACAAAAATTGGGATCTCTTGAACATCAAGGTGAAAAGTAGGTGAAAAGCCCCAGACTTCAACATGGCACTTAAATCTCCTCCTCCGGCCCAAATCAGAACCATCAGCTGCACTAGCAGATAATGCAGGTCCCACCAGGGAGGCAGGGCTACTTGATAAAATCTTCAGGCGCTGCTGCTCTGGGAACAAAGCTGAAGGACCAGACCAGAGGGGACTGATCTTGCAGCAGAGTGAAGTTGACCAAGAGCTGCTCACCACTGACAGGGCAGTCAGGCTCTGCTTTCCCACAAACACCCTCCTCTATCCTCCTTTGTGCCACCATTCAGGCTCTGCATCTTCTCAACAAACCAACTGCATAAGAAATATTCTGTCTCCTTTCTTATAAGGTCTGCTTTATAACTACTAATCTTTGAACTGGCTCTCCATGGCTCAGAAGAGCAATGTAGCAGAAGAGAAGCAGGAGCAGCAGTCAGGAGGACCCGGAAATACCCAAAAGCCACCTCTCCCCTGCTGGTAAAAGCTTGTAAGGCTGGCATGACCGCACTGTGAAACCTCACCTAGAGCAAGTCCACAGTGCTGGCACCAACATGGGTCTTGGGAGAACTCAGCATCACGCTGTCCACACAAACAGCCTGAGCTGTCCTTGGGGGCAGTCCTGCTATCCTGGGACAACAGGGAGACTCCAGTCTTTCTTTCTTTCAGAGAACACAAGGCTTGGTATTTCAATGCAATGTCACATGGAAATTTAAAGTCAAAAGCAAAACAATTTTTCCAGAACTGGCAGCTCCAAGGTTGACATGCTGCTTTCTGTGACAGCTCTAACAATTTTGGTTAAAACACAAAGAATTTGCTTAGTATCTGGATGTGGCTCCTACTGCCTGATCAGACTGCTCCCAGCCAAACTGGGAGACATCCAATGTTGTTATAAATGCCTACATGGAGACCCGGCTCCAGTGAGCATGGTGTTATCAGGTTCCTTAGATGGGCAAGTGCTCATACTACAAGAATTACTGCAAGTAATTCTTACTCTGCAAGTGCCAAGGAGCCCTTGCAGAGCAACGTACTCATCATCACAGAGTATCATCCAGCAGCCATTATTAGACCTGTCTTGTCTGAATGCAGTTACCCTGTGGCACTACAGTAGCCTTTACCTATTTTGCACTAAAGCCAATTACTTTCCCTTTGAAAGGAGCGTGACTGGCCTGACTCACTCCCAGGTATAGCCAGCACCACTACAGCCATCAGTTTTTGCTGGTGTAGATAAGAGAACTGGCAGTTGCATCTGCCTGCTGGGGACATCTCCCCATTTCCAAGGCTTCCTGGTACATGGAAATGCGCATGTACTTAGAGAGGAGTCACTGTGTCTGCAGAGAAGAGAAGAGGCCAGCAGCCTCCCACACCAGGTGCCAGCTGCTGGCTCATCCCACAAACTGTATACCATGCTAAGGCTCTTACAAACACAAACTGAATTGAAACATTTTTACTTGCTGAAAAGTGCAACCCAGTCTGGAGCTGGTGACAGAGGTGCACAAAGAACACAGTGCATATGGACAAGGAGGAAAATTAAGATGTTATCAACCTACCCACCGAAGTCCCAAGGGAAATGAAGAAGCACGGCTATTTACAAACACACTAGTAATTGTCATGTAGTGACTAAACCAACAGTCTATACAAAACTAACCACCTACCCATGGTTTTAAGAAAAAGTGGGAATATTAATACCTGCAATTATAGTCCACTGAATTTGTGAGGGAAAAGGGGAGAACAAGTTTTCAAGACCTGTATTTACAGAACTGATGCACACCTCAGAGGATAGGGAAAAGTCAACAGCATTCCTAACTCCATTAAGCAATGCTACCAGAACTGCCCACAGGATGAGGGGTGAATACTCATCCTCAGAGCAGGTTATCACAGCCTCTGCACTGGCTCCAGTCCCATCCTGGAGCACTACTCTCTGCTTCTGCCCTTAGAATCATATTCCCCATGAACACAATTGACTGTGCAACTCCAATTGATCCTCTTCTCTGCATAGACCTCCATACAGTTGCCAAAAGTACTCAGAGAGGAGACGCCCCTGTCCTCTCTCCAGACCCTCCAGGTCTTTATTTAAACAAAGTGCCCCATGTCACCAAGTTAGGTAGTTCTGGAACTTGCACATGCTTTGTTGTGCCACAGCAGTGGTTTCCAACAACAGAACACATCAGTACTTTTCCATCCAGCTGGAATACTGAGTAACCAGATTCACTACAAGGACAGTGAACAGAAAAGACCGAAGCTCAAGAGCTCTGACTCTGTTTGCACAGATCAGAATCAGGGCAAACGGGTTTTATCTGACCATGGTGTGCCAGGAAAAGCCATAGGAGAGCAGTTACCTAGACCAGATGTGCACCATAAAATAAAAAATAAAAATCTCTCTACCTTCTAAGTTGTCTTAACTACCGCTGCCAAAGTTCAATTCCAGAAAACATAGCATTTTTTTTTAGCATATTGAGACATAAGGTAGAGCAATCAGAGTCAAACAGTCACTGGAAATAGTTATATTTGCACCAGCAGATAAACAGCTCAGACACAAGCCACTCCTCAAAATTCAGCTCAGGTGAAACCCAAAAATGCATTTTCAAAACAGCCAGATGTACAGAAGTATTTGAACCCTCAGACAGCTTTCAAAATCACAACCACAGCTTTTATCGCTGGGAGATGGAGGGAAGCAAGCAGGACAGACTCACAGGAGCCATAGCTCAGACCAAACAATTTCCATGCTGCTGTTCCGCTACTGCTACTCTCCAGAATTACATTTTCCTGGAATTAAGTTATGGCATACTTTGGAAATAAAGTGGATTTCAAAAATCACTATAATTCTGAAAGATTTTACTCTGCAATCGCTGCTATGATATAATCTTACCATAATAAATGGATTTCTTGAAGACTAAGAAATCCTCACACCCAAATTGCACTGCCTTCCCCTCTGTACTGTGCTGTTTTTTGGAGTACGAATGGGTGCCTCTGCAAGATACAGAAATGCTCTCTGTTCCAGTGCAACTGCACAGCATTGGCAGCAGCAGAAGAACCCAGCTAAAAAAAAATAAAAGGGAATTTGGTTGCTTTGCCACTGCCTGGATGTTTTTGCTGACACTGCCAGCAACAGCGCTTACTCTAGAGTTTGGTTTCTTCTGGTAAGAGAGTGTTTACCCCATTTGAACCAAGCTAGTACTTTGGTCAGTCATGCTGTGCTAGGCTTGATGAAGGGGGATAGTAACCTGCATATGAGCATGCCAGCAACCTCACACATCCCACTCACCGCCATGTATGGTCGGCACCCTGCATCCCGTGTTTTGGCAATGGAGTCTACAAGCTGTCCACTAATGCCGAAGTCACAGAGTTTAATATTTCCATTTCTGTCCAGAAGAATATTGGAAGGTTTGATATCTGTAAGGGAAAGAAATTTTAACTGTTAAGTCATGGCCTGATGTTTCAATTTCAAAAGCAGCAGCTGCACAGAATCAGCACCAGTAGCGAATGCTGTGCATGGCCTTGGCATGGGACAGGCACGAAACAACGTGGCATGCTCATCACCTCAGGTTCCGATCAGCAGCAGCAGCAGGAGATGAAGCCTGCCCCAAACAGGCTGTGGGCTCAGAGGTAAAGGCAGACACCCAACAACCCTCAAATACCACTACAACAGTCTGACCACTGCTTGGTATGCAAAAACACAGGTTGGAGGAGCAGTGAAACAGCCACCACCTGTGCAGAATCTGTTTGCTTTCCAATGCTCACACCTGTGGCAGTACCCATGCAAGTTACATTTTGACTTGATGCAAAGGCTGATTAAAATTCTTGTAATTATTTTGGTAGGCAAGAAGAAAAGATACAAACTTACCTCTGTGAATGATTTTCAAGTTTTCTTTTAAGTGGTTTAGTGCTTTCACAGTCTAGGAAAGAAATACAGAAATAAGCAAGCGTCATAAGATTCCTGTGATTATTAAATTGTTGGGAGTTCCAAGAAGAGGGGAAAAACATTAAATATGAAAAGACATCAATGCTGTAAATAGATGATTAAAACATTTATCTCATATTTTTTCCTGCAAAGAGGTGACAGAAAATAGGGGAAGTGGTTAAGTAAAACATTTGTAACTTTGAAAGATCACACTTTGGGAGACAGAAGCAAGAGATGAAGTTAAGCAATTTCGGATATTAATTATCTTCAGTAAGAACTTATTTCAAGCCCTACGCTGTACTCTTCCAGTAAATAATAAATGTCCTATTCTGCTGTTCCCATTCCACTGGCTGAGCAGCAGCTCCTCATGTCAGTGGCGTGAAGAGCAGCAGATAAGGCTGTTCTGATTCACCCACTCACCATCAAGTGGAAAAGATATTCAGAGAGCCTGGTATATAAGATAATTAAAAAACACAACAAAAGAAAACAGCTGAAAGATCAACATTAATTAATTTCACTTCTATTGAATAAAACACTGAAATAGATGGCCAAAAGATTGTCTTAATGATGATGGCAATAGGATGTTCATGTTGAGCTGCTAAGTTCTGCAAAGTTGTGGGAAGACAAAGTCTAGCAATGAAAATCTTCCCCTTCCTGCTTGCATTTTCCAATGTGCACACTCCTTCCTGCTCACACAACCCTGTGTTCAAGCATTTACATAATTAAAAACTTTGGCAGCCTCTGTGATAAAATTTTTTAATGAACCAGGACTTCCAGGTTAAGATGAAGAAAACAACAATCATGTTCTCTACCTGCTGAAGAAGCCACCTGCATTTTAAGAGCCTTTGCTCAATGCCACAAGAGATTTCTCTGGACTGGAGTGGCTCAGTTTACCAGAGATCCAATGGACGTGACAGAGCTTCAGGGGCAGCAGCAGGACAGAAGTTTCAGGATACCTTTCAACACCCTTTTGTCCACAATCCAAGACCAAAAGCTTTTTTTTTGCAGGGCCAAAACTTACCCTTGTGTTTAGACAACCAAGGGTTCATTTTGGCAGAGCTAAGTATAATTCTTAAGGGCTTCTTAAAGGTACCCTCACTTAGAAAATAATTCCTTCACTTCACTACTGGAGGAATATACATACACAGAACATGAAACAATCCAATGCCAGAGGACCTTGGGGAGACAACGGCCTCGATGGAGCAGGGGTGTGCTCAGATACTTGGGATCAGACTCACCTCACTTCACTTGACCATCTGAAGTGCCATGAGATAGGAACCCTGCTCCTATACAGAGACACTAACCTCTTCCCACTGACTTCAGAGAGAGTGCATGCAACTTAGACCAGAAACCTACTCCTACAAGTTTAGTGGGGTTCACCTCTCCTGGCTATGCTCAACCCCTTTTTCCCTTTACAAACGTGAGATGGGGAGACAGTTCATTGATTTTAGATAAATCCTTGGGATGAGATAAACTGCACCTAGCTTCCAGGAAAGCCACCTCTGTCTGGCACCTGGCTCCTGCCACCCATGGTCCTGCTAAGCAGCATTGCAGGATAACAAAAGGACTACTTGCAGATGCAGCTCCTTGACAGCCCCTCCCAAACACAGGGCTCACGGTGTGCTCAGGACCTGTCAGTGCCCTAGCCCTCCCGCTGTTACAGGAAGGCTGTCTGGAAAGGCAAGTCATGTCATTTGACAAGGTTTTGCTGACATCCCCACGCCATCTCAGTGCCACAAGCTGTGAGCCTGCAGCAGAGCTGCCCCACTACAGAGCTGCCCCCTCCTGCCCACAGTCAGCAAACAATCCTTCCCAAATTTCTGGGGCTCTGAATAGAAATTCTGGGGCCTCTGCATACAGATTACAGATGCCAGGACCTGCTTCTCTATCATGCGTTATGTCATGCTAAAATTAGAATACTCTCAAGGTTCGTTAAAACTGTGATACGATATAACAGCAGAAGTTGTATTGCATACATATCAAGCAGTTTTTTTGTTTTTGTTTTTTTTTTTTACAAGCAAGTAAGAGAGATCTGAATATTTCAAATCAGCTTTAAAAAAAAAAGTTTAACAAAATACTCACAGCTAAAGTGATTTTTCCTAGGATTTCTTCTGGAATAACATCATCTAATACACTATATACATATTTGTAAAACTTATCAAACGAGGTAGACATGAGCTCCATACAGATCCAACAGTCACCCTGGAAAAAGAAAAGAATCATTGTAACTGACAAGCTTAAATGAGAAACAAAAGCCCAGAGAGCATCCCTTGAATCCAATAAAACACAAACAGCAACCTGCATTTGACAGGAAGGATAGATTTCACCTTGATTAATTTCAGCCATTTCAGCAGCAAGTCTGAATTAGTCATTGAGAGCAATGGAAGAGTAACACCAATACGTACCTTTCCTCCACTCCATTTACCAGCAGAGAAATCTAACCAACAAGATCAGACCTGACATTACAATTCAGATGCCTGAACCTAAATGAATCAAAGTCTCAAAAACTGCCTGGCTCTCAAAAAGGCTGATGGCACAATGAGATACAACCATGCACAGTAAGATTGAAAAAAGACCCTTGCAGTTTACGACAACTCTGCATGGGTCAGAGAACATTTCATACCACATTTGGAGGTATGATCTAAGCAAGAGAAAAAGAAAATAGATTTAAGAAGGTGTGTGTGGGGGGGTTGTTGATTTATATCTTGCAGTTAAGTTAAATGCAGAAAATTGTAAGACATATCTCTGTTAAGCTAAACAATCATAGGAGGGTAACATGTTTATGAAACTCCCTCCTGAGATCTGTGAATCAACTTGCTCATGACAGATTTGCTGGGGAGAAGAAATGGATTCCCACAAAGATGATATATAAAAGGATTTCATCTTTTGTCATAGTATGTATCTAGTATATGGTGATAAATGGCTTAGCCACGGATTGATCTCAAATTTCACATTTTTGAACATTTTAACTCCAGTAAAGGACAATTGAATGCTTGGTATGACTTGTTTCTATAGAGTATAATGCACTTCATGCAATGCTTCATTGCTAGGAAATCACCAGAACTACAGCCACCCTCCCCAGAAATTACACATTCTTATCTTCTCCAGGCTGTATCACAATCAGTGTTAAAACCACGTTAGCTGTCAAAAGTAGAGTGCAAAAGACGGTTGGCCAGTCTGGTTGTCTCATTCTGGTTAGGCACCATCCAAAACACTTGTGTGAAGAGCAGTAGCTCCCGCAGGCAGCACTGCCCCCGGCTGCCTGGGTGGCTCAGAGCACTGGGTGCCTGCCTGGCGGTGACTTCTGCCTGGTGGTGACTTAGTTGCATATTCCTGGAATACAGGAGGTAAGAAATAGAGGAGAAGCCTCCTTGTACTGCAGAAGGTAGATTTTTTCCCCTCAAGAACAAAAACACAAACATGCAAAAAGTACATACATGGAAATTAAATTAGGAAAAAAAAAAAGAGAGAGAGAGAGAGAGAGAGAGAGAGACAGAGAGTATAGGCATTCTGGCAGTGCAGCAAAGCTCCCATCCCGTGCACCTCCAGTCACTTCTGTCTGAAGCAATCTGCCGGTGCTCATGTCAGCCAAGAGCAATTCTCAAGCTGTACTCAGATTAAAAAAGCTTGCAGAGCCATGTGTCTTAAAGCCAAAAAGGGGGGTTGTGCCCACTCAGAATGACCTCCTGGACACCATGAACACACACCGAGGAATGAACAGCATCCACCAAGGCCTGACTCCAGTCCAAGCACTTGGTTTTTTGGGAACAGAAGGGGCCAGCAAAGGTGGTATCAGTTCATCGCCCACCCAATGGAAATGGCTGGTACAAGCCTGAGCCCAGAGAACAAGCATTTCACCTGAAACAAAGAAAAAGACACTGATCAAACAAGCACTGTGCTGAACACAGAGGCTGAGACACTGCCCAGAGAGAGGCAAATGCAGCACAGTGGAAGAGGACACAACTGGTGTTTCAAGTGACTGACATGAGCCAGTCACAGAGAGAGACATGGAGAAAGGAGATCTCAGGCTGCTGGATAAAGGTTGGAATGGATGGATTTGGATGAGAACTTGATCTGATTTAAACTGCAGAAATTAAATTAGGTAACACATGCAAAAAAAAAAAAACTTTTCAACACTACAAACAAATGCAGACTGCAGCTATGGCACGTATCATCAAGAGCGGCTAAGAAAAGGTAAGTGGATGCACACGAATCAGGTGAAATTGGAACCACACCAGACCACTACAAACTATCCACAGCGAAAGCAAATACAGACTTAGTTCTACTGCCTGCAAGTTTGTTGAAGACATTGCTTCTATTTTGACCAGCTTTGCATTAAAAAATTGGTAATGTGCTATACTCCCATGCTGCTGTGCCAAGACTATAGGGAACTGGATTCATTCAAGAATGCCAGAATAATACCGACCACCTGCAGCCTCACGTTTGTGTCCCATCGCACTAATACGTCAGTGTCTTCAGTTGCCCAGGTTACAATGGGATCATGTTTGTACAGGAAAAGCAAACTGAAGTGAAACAACAAGCAAGGTTATCAGAGCTGCAGTCCATAACAAAAGCTTCACAGCATACTTTGTATGCCTGCAGGGTTGCAATGTGTGTGTGACTGAGCACTCAAACATGTTCGTGTGTAATCACAATACAAACTACTCATGATCAAAAGCACCAAAGGGAAAAAAATCAAGAGATTGTTTAGTTGCTGTCTTGAAGTACCATAGAATGATACAGAAATCCTGAATGGGAGCATTTATTGATCTGGTAATATTAAAATCTACCTGATCAACGTGAGTTCCTGTCAGCAAGATCAGTGAAGAAAGATGACAGCTTTTCGATTACGCAGTTTCATTAAGACTGGTGATGAGACTGAAAATCCTACAAGTTTTCATCTCTTCTTGAGACTTGAAAGGACTTACCTAGAAGCAAAGTTGATGAATTTTACTGGGAACAAAGAGGAAGACTGGCAGGAGCAACTACATACTTGTCATCCAGCCCCTTTCTTAGCAAATTATACAGAGAAATGCTGATGTGCATGAGAAAGTTCTGCTTCACCTTGAATTGCGAAGACAAAACTATCTTAACAGAAGTTTATCTTCAATTTATGCTTCCAGGTCAGGTTGATTTTCAGGTTGATTTCTGATTAGAAAATGACAAAGGAAACATTTTTTCTCTTCCAGCCATAGCTATTCTTCCAAAGAACTATATTTTAGTCCTTTTCAGGTACTAAATTACCAGGTACTAACGCACTTCTTGTAGGCATACCAAAAAATACCCAGGAATGCCCTACACTTACTATTTCATTCAAAGTACCACTGCCTATGCTCCAGGACATACACAAAAACTGTGTCTTAACCAGCAACTAGGCTGCTTCAATTCCTGAATGCAGTGTCCTTAGTTCCCAGCCCACAACTGAGCATGTCACAAAGATGCCACTAGGCTGAAAAGCAGCTTGGCACTAAAAGGACCTGGGGTCTTGGTGGACACCAAGGTGAACATGAACCAGCAACATGACCTTGCCACAAAGAAGGGGAATGGTATCCTGGGCTGCATTAGACAAAGCATTGCCAGGAGGCTGAGGGACGTCATCCTTCCCCTCTGCTCAGCACTAGTGAGGTTAGTTAGACCTGGAGTGCTGGGTCCAGCTCTGGGCTTCCACTACAAGAGACATGGAGCTACTGAAGACAGCCCAACCGAGGGCCAAAAAGATGATAGAGTTCAGCCTGGGGAAGTAGCAGCAGCTCGGGGGAGGGGGGGGATCTCATCAATTTGTATAAATACCTGAAGAGAAGGTGCAGACAGAATAGAGCCAGGTTTTTGTCAGTGGTGCCCAGTGCCAGGACAAGATTCAGTGGACATGAACCAGAACACAGGAAGCTTCCTACGAATGTCAGGAAACACATGATAGTGCAGGTGACTGAGAATTAGCACAGGTTGCACAGAGAGGCTGTGGAATCTCCATGTTCAAAAGCTGTCTGGACATGGTCCTGGGCAACCTGCACTAGGTGGCCCTGCTTGAACAGGTGAGTTGGACTAGACGGCCACCAGAGAAGATCCCTTCCAGCTTCAACAAGTCTGTGATTCTACAAAATCAATACTTGCGGATTTATCACATTAGTGCAGGGCAACCTTTTACACAAGTAGCATCTATACTAATGAGAGAGAATCAAGACCCTCATCATCCTCCCTTTTCCTTACAAGACACAAAGGAACTTTTCCTAGAGACTGGGGACTGCTTGCTTGCGCAGACACCTCAAGCACTTCCAAAACTGCCAAAGATTTCCATAGTCAAGTAGCATGTTGGACATCTCCAAAGAAATGCTAAAGAGATGGTATATCACATACGGAGTCTTAGTCAGGTGGAAGAATTATCTTTATTGTACCAAGCATACATGAAGATTTTGAAATAACAAATACTACAGATTTAAGAGCCTGTCTGAATGGCATGTCTTCTGCTGGCACTTGAGACAGTCTTGAAAAGTCTTTGAAATGGCTAGCAGCTATTCTGAATATTGTACTTATATCATATAATTGACAGAGATCTTAGGGAGTGCAGAGACAATTCTACCTCAGACTGAGAATGCAGGATATTGGCAATATTTATTCCTCTCCTGTTTCTTTTTCTAGTTGTGGCTATGTCTTGTCACAGAGAAGTTAAACTGACTGTCATTTTCTTTTTCTGAATGCTTCTGTGCAGTACGAAATTTCATGGAATATTAATTACTTTCATTCATCACCAAGTTTTAACTTTTTATCAATTAAAAAAAAAGTTTTTGGAGAAGTCTACAAAGGTCATATAACCTGAAAATTCCTGTACATCTTATAGTTTTGAACTGAGTGCTTATTGGACCAAAACCCCAGGGAGGGGTTTTAAATACTGCTTTCATGAGTTGGTAACAGCAACTACTTAAGGAAAACAATATATGTAAGACGAAAATACTTTCCAGGGCACTGCAAGTGACATTCCAAAGCACCTTCCTGTGAGCACCTCAAGAAGAGAACACAGAGCTGGCATCAGCTGACTGAGGATATGCTCACAAGTCACATCAGGAGCAGCACTGTGCTACTGGCATACCCACACTGTCTCTTCCCTCACACCAGCAGAAGGTCTCATGGGGTACTTTACCTGGCTTCCCAGGCTTACTTTACAACTTGCAATGAGTTCTGCATTGATCAAATTTGTCAGTTATTTAGTTTGTTTAAACTTGGCTCAGTTGCACTTGCACTGCGTAGAAGTCACCGCTGCCGTCCCAGGTCAGACAGGGCTTTTTTCCTCTTTCCCTCTTGAGAAAAAAAAGTAACAAATAGTTGCTTTAAACAAGTAGCTAACGTGGTCATGATAACCAATGAAACATTCCCAGCCTTAGAGGAACAGTCTCAAACTAAATTAGTTGCAAAGCCTGAGGCAGACACACCAGGAAAGACAACTGCTTTTTTCTCAGATTTCTGCCTTCCAAACAGTAACTCCGAGGGAGAGAGTCTCGGGGTCAACCATGGCAGACGTATGGTTCAGCCGGTGCCACAGTGACATCAAGGTCACAGCTTCACAGGTCCAGCAACAAGATATGGACTGAGCAGTGTGCTCTGCCATAATACACCATGGGTTAAGATGCTGTCGGCTGAGGGACAACCACCGCTACTTCCCAGAGAAGACTCATTCCTGAGTCAAGTTCCCCTGAAGGGTGATGGTTAACAACACTTGGCATTCATGCCCTGTCTGATTTTCACATCTCGATGGTATCACTGTAGCTTATTGTACTCAAACTTTTCAAGAGGATGCTTCAAAATGGTCAAAACTGCCAAAGACCAATTAGTATTCAAGGGGAAAAAAAGATTTTTTATTTATTTTTTTTTTTAAACCTTTGCAAATCAAAACTTGTCATACTTAGGAGAGGCTGCCACAGCAACTTCTCTGTTTACAGTTGTTTTCCTAACTGCAAGCTGGAATATATGTCTGTCCTCAAATTAAGTCCTTCAACAGTTTTGTCCAGTTTGGTTTACTACTACTACTCCCTGACTGTCAAGACTCAGAAGCTGAGCTCTGTTTCTCAGCACAAACAGCTCACTCTTCCAGACAGGCTTCCTGCCTTTCAAAACAGCCCAGCAGCTGTCCTGCTGCCCTCCCTGAAGCCTTCTTGCTAATTATTTGATTGTGAGAGCTGCCTACTCAGCATTCAAGCTCCTCTGAAGAGACTCAAAGTGAAGTCTTTCACCCTTTAGGAGCAGAAGGAAGATGACTTCTCATCTGTAGCTCAGTCTATCCCCAGAGAATCTGAGTCCTGGCTCAGAGCAAAAGGTCCCAAAAGGATGTGTCTTTTGGAATGTTTTTCCTTACTTTTCACCTTGAAATCCAGGAACAAAGGGCTTTGTTTACATGTGTCTTGCTATAGGACTTCCTGAGAGAGGAATCTTTAGTAACGTCCCACATGTTCGTATACTCTAGACGATGGTGCAGCAGTGAGCTGGATCAGTTACTTTGTGAACGAAGAGCAGGAGGGTGAGACAGGTTCAAACATACTGGCGAAATTCTTTTTTCCCCTTAAATACTTGCTCTCTCTGCTTTCTCTGCTGTCATAGTTTCCTGCCTTTAAAAAACTTAATTAACGTTGGAGCATGTAATTAATATGACAAGACAGACAATCTCATCCAAGTCTATCTATCAGTTTGTCTTGCATACCTCTGAGGTGTGTGCCAGCCATGACAGACTGAGGAGAGGGGGGAGTTTGCTTCCATTTCAGAAACACACACCACCGATGCTGAGGGTGTGGGCAGAGGGGATTTCAGGGACAAACACAATATACCCCTGAGTGACCTTATTGAAGTCTTTCCCAGAGCACCCAAAGAATGCTGCCTGGTTGCAGGAAGACAGGATTTTTTGACAAAACAAAGGGTGCAGCAAAGACCAGGCTGACAGTTGGATGTTGATCAAGGTAGGTTTCTGTATTATTTATGTATGTATACTTACATTCTGAGATGCGCCTCAAGTAGCAGAGGTGACATGCTCTCGCAGTTCTGAACATGTTGCTCATCAGCAATCTGGCAAGATATTGTCTTGCCCAGAGACTTTTCTTCAAACCAGCTGACAGCCTTATCATTTGTATTTCAGCAAAGCTGCAAACTTTCAGCCAAGGCTGAGGCTCCACACTTGCTAGGAGTTTGAAATGCGTGAACAGGGACAACACCTTCTCACTCAAAGTGTTCAACAGATAAGACCAAGCAAAGCATGAAAAAAGTAAATTATTTTAATCCTTATTCTAGGAACTGAAATTTAAAGCCAGAGGAATAAACTGACAAAATAACAGAGAAAGATTCTCCAGAAGCGGAAATTAAATATTCAGTCCCAATTTGTGGTTTTAATTGCCAGATTCACCTTCTCCCTCTCAACAGCTCTCCATTAATGCCCCAACAGACTCTGCATAGGTTGCTATCAGATAATAAGCAAAGATGAACAGCAGCAAGTAGGTCTCTATTTTCCTTCTTCCCTTGGGTAGGTGTACAGGATTTAGACTCAATTAGAGGAAAACAGGCAAGCATGGCGTAAGACTGTCCAGGCTGTATGCAGAATGCCAGTTTCCCAACTGTTTTTTTTACTGGTCATTCAAATGCAATGGGAGTACCTGAGCAAGGCACAAAGAGAAAGGAGGACACTTTCTGTGTCCCTGCAGCAAAATGTATTCTCTGAAGTACAATAAGTAGATGCTAAAACAGTCACAAGCACTCAGTGATTAACACTATATTCCTGGACATGAATAAGTGAACTATGTCAGAATTAATTACAGTCAGCTTACATAGATTTTGATGCTCTAATTCTGGTCTTCACTTTGTATAATTCATGAAGCATCATATTGAATAACACACTCTACAGCACATACAATATCTATATGCATAAAAGGTCCAAGCAAAATGCCAGGCCCTAGGGTGGCTATTGCAGATATTGCTCCTTTCGAGAGCACTCATACAATTTTGGTCTCCATCCCAAAAGGACAGAGTAGAACTGGAAAAGATGCAGAGAATGGCAAGAAAGATGATCAAAGGTCTGGAATAGATTCTACGCATGACACATGTTTGCACTTTTCAGTCTGGAGAAGACGTAACAGAGATACGGCAACGGTCCACAAAATCCTCAGTGGCTTAGAGAGAATTGGTAAGGAGCAACAACTAACTTCCTCTTCAAATACAAAAACTAGGGAAACCACTAGGGGCACCATTCAGAACAGCAGAATGAAAATTCAAAATCAATCAAAGTGACTGGCCTTCAAGTGACAGACAGACTACCAAGGGAAGTGCCTCTCAGGGAGCACCAAGGATGCAAAAAATGTACATGTATCCACAGGGAAAACAAACCATTTACTGGACAAGAAGTCTAGGAAGAATCATTAAGCAAAAGATAGCATGCAGAGCTCAGAAGACATTCAGGTACGTACAACTGAAGGTTATGGCAAAGTATCACATGTGCTTCTTTAAGCAGATCCTTTGGGCCATCGCCAGAGACAGGACCACCCACTGGTCTGACCCAGCCAGGTCGCTTATTTTCTTACACATCTGCAGGTACAAGCCACTTCAAGGAAGAGGCACTTCAATTATGAGTCTCTGACACAGCCCTGGTATGTACATATGTACAAATATGTATCTGATCACAGCAGCCACCTTTATTACAAGGACACTGAGTTTGCACGCATCCTCCATATGGTCATATCTGATTACTGACACAAATCACATTTGTATTCAAGCGCAGTGCCACAGAGCTGTGCCCAGCCCAGCAGTGCAGGGGGGAACCACAAGTTCATCAAATGAGAAAAACAGGAGAGAAAGAGAGACTGAAATATGCAGACAGACCTAACAATGAATGGGAATAGCATTTATGTGTTCAACACTACTCAGACATCTGGATATCTTGGTTAAACAACCTTGATGAAAGGTACCAAGCTAAAAATCCTAACATAAATTAACATTCTCTTCCTTATTCCGTGTTGGCAACTTCAACAAAAAAAAAGGTCAAAAAAACAAACAAAAACAAAAAATTCTGCTATAAATGAAGCAAGTTTGGAGTTCCCACCTCTCTGAAGAGCGCACCATAAAACTGAACAATATACGGGCAGTCACTGCTTCGCATTACTACATCAAGGTCCATCAGAAGCTGCTTCTGTTCTTTTTCATCCACTGTCGACCGAATTCTCTGAAAGAGGAAGAGTGGCAGAGACTTTATCACTTACATGCCATTCCTGTATCTTCAGAACCACTACTGGAGCAACGTGCCAGGGACCCCAAACCCAAAGCTGAGCAGGCAATCCCCAAGGCATGATAAAACACACTCAAGAGAATTGAACCATTTTCAAATCAGAATTTTAACTGAAAACCCCAAAAGCCATCAATACAGACTATAAAATCTCCAATCAAATTTTACTCTTATGAGCATCAGCATTTTCAGATGAAATGGCAGCATGAAATTAAAGAGCAAAGATTTCATTGAAACCTACAGTAAATCAATACATTCAGGTTATCATTTCAAAACATTCCCATGGAGTTCTTAGCCATGTTGGATGGGGCTCAAAGACTGATTTGATATTTAACCAAGGAACATTATGTTTGAAATGACTAAGAAAAGCAAAGAAGGCAAAAAGTTTTCCTACACCTTGCCTTCACCATGGCTGGCACATTGGAAAAGGCCCATAATGTAATCGAGGGAACACATTGCTCTGGTAATGCTAATGGTGGGCAACAGTCCTCCTCATAAAACTAACAACTCTACCTTTACTGGCATAGCTAACACTAACTATGAAAGATATAGATTATATGCTGTATGTTTAAAAATGTATATATACCCGCTATACTTTATAGTGTATATATAAGGAAAACTCTGATTTGGGCTTGAAAGAGCAATTTAAGTTTGAAAATAAAAAAAGAGCACACATCGAACCATGAAGCTCATTAAATGAAGGATGGAGGAGTCCATCCACAGCTTTTCATGTAATTTTACAGATATTTAGCATCTTGCACTAATTAAATGCATTATCTGAAACACTAGTGAGTAAAATAATGACACTGAAGAACTGAGTCACACTGAGAAATCATCAAAAAGCAAGAAAAAAAAATGACAAGTCCAAAGCAAGAGAAACAGCCTGGACCCTCCTTGTGGAGAAAAGCTATCTGGCTATCCAAGAAAGAAAAAAATGTTCAAGGTTGTGGGAAAAACCTGCATGATACCAAAAGCCAGTCCCACTGAAACTGTTTGGCAGAGCTCACTGCCCTGTGAGCAGCTGCTGTTGGCAGCAAGACCACAAGCATTAGCGAGCACAAGGCTAAGCATATGAAGGTACTTTAAAGGTTGGCTGTTCCTATTACATCACTTGAGATTATGAGTGCATTATTATGTACCTTTGGACTATTTTGTGATGATCCACACAAAGTGAGGACTGTATGGAGACTACAATTTCCTTACCTTTGCTGTATCCTGGTATTTTGGTATTTCCCCATTCATTCGTTATGTTCTAGCGGTTCTAGTTTGGCCTAGAACAGTAATTGTGTTCATACTGCCCTTTTCCCTCCCAATGAATTCTAGAGTACTAGGGAAAACTAGTAAGAGCCTTGCCCAGCACACCCACGATCTGTAACATCCACACCTTGTAATGTCACTGAGTGGGTGGAATTTTGTAGTTGCAAACAGAGCAAGACAACAGCTCAAGGGACTAGTAATGAAACTAAAACTCTTCACCTCTAGGTCACTGGTTCAAATCTGTTTCGCAGAAGTTTAGTCACATAAGTGAAGAAGGTCTGATAAGTTCAATCATTTCTTTGTCTTGGATGTACATCATATAAAGCTCTTCAACCCTGTGCTGACATATCAAAGGCTAAGAAGATTAGAAGTCTCTGGATAGCACATCAGCAGCACTGTATGAAATAATAATGATGTTGCTCTGACCTTGATAGAAGATGATGGATGCCAAAGCCACTGTGGTGGGACCTCTGAGGAGCAGTTTTGTCTCCCACTGAGATGCTACCCACTCCTCTGAAAATTTCACAAAACAGGTAAGAAGCAATACCAAAAGGTCTTTTCTCCATACTGTAACTCACAGCTCTCTTCTGTGCCAATTCCATTAACTCCTTTCCCCCAAAAACCTTTCTCCTGGTCATCTCCTCAGACTCCCTCTGCATTCTTTTCACAGCTGCACACTTCTGTCTCAGCCATCCCTGCAGCATGCTTCTCAAATTCTACAACTTCACCTGAAAGTACCTCATCCCAACTCTGACATTCTCTGCATCTTCTCTGCTCTTACTTCTTCAAATCTGGAAAGCATTTGAGATATTTGTATGGAGAAGGTAATTTTAACGGCACCCTGGAACAACAGCCAAACCCAACAACTTCTTTTTCCAGCCACAATCTCCCCATGAAGAAATAAAAAGAGCAGGCAGAGGACCCCAAGGATGTACAGTTATGTAAAGGTTATAATACAGAACATCCCATGCGGGCATTGCACCCAAAGGACACCTTAAAAAGCCAACATAAACTCCTGATCAAACACTGCTTTGGAGACTGAAGGGGAGTCTTTTATGAGACTTCTGGATACCGGAGGTTTGCTAATTCAAGAAGAGCGCAAAACCCTTGGAGGCAACATGCAGCACAATGCTGAGCTGAGGTCACCCAGGCTGGAAAAGAAAACAGTCTTAATTCATCAGCTAAGAAGCAAGCATTCATGAGCAAAAGAAGGAAGAAAAAGCAAAAGGTGATGGAAGTCAACAGCAGCCAGTACTCAAACAGCACATGTGCCACAATGAAGACCTGCTACCTAACTCAGAGGCAGAGTGCAAGACACTGCAGCAGTACCCACAGACAGACTCTCCCAAAGACACAGGAGGCGGCAGGAAAGGAAGACAAGGAAGACAGCAGCCTGACAACACCATTTAAGATCAGGATGGACAAGTCTGACTTGGTTTCAGCTCTTATATCTCTCAGCCTGGTTAATCAATTGCATGCAGTTCCTGCCATGGCCAAACAGGCCACATATGGAAGAAGTGTTTTTGTAGTGGAGATTATAGAAAGTCTGATCTTTAGCAGTTTCTTGTTGGCCTTAAACAAACTGCATAAAATCCTTCAGAAGAAAATTCTCCAACCTTTTCAGCACAAACCCAGGTTAGGAAAAAGGTTTCTGATATCTGAAATAAGAGCTCTAAGTGATGATGGTCTGAACATCAAAAATGCTTGATGATGCTCTGAAACATCAAAATGATAAACTGTGCTGAGTGGATTGTACCACTCTCAAACCTTAAAACCTGACAGATCCCAGAAACCAGACCCAAAACAGAAGAGACATCACCCAAGTCCAGTATGCACAGGAAAAAAATCAGGTGCAGTGGGTAGCAACAAAGGGGAAAAGGGAAAGGGGACGGGACAAGCACCAAACTGAAAACCTACTTCTTGAGCCAAGAGAGAAAGCAGTGCTGTCCTGCGTACACAGCTCACAGGTGTGCTCAGCAGAAAGTCCTGCAGCAGCACCTGACAGTGTCGCCAAAGGGATGGGTGTTATCTGCAGGACAGCAAAGACCAAAAGCTACAAAATGAGCAGGAAGAAAGGGGTTTTGCCCACTTGCTGCTGAGGACAAGAACATTTACCTACCCATCCAAAACACTTTCAGTGCTGAAAGAAGCATGTCAGGTCTTTCACTGATAACAACTAGTCTCCCATCTCCTCTAATAAGGCTTACTTCCTCACCATTTCCTTTTAACCCTTACTCATTCACTCCTTTCTCAGTGTCATATCAGCATGGCTTGAAGCACTGTTTTCCCTAACTCTCAGACAGCTACCCAAACAGATGAGTGAAACAGAAAATTCTCCTCAATAAACCTTAAGTAGTCTACTCCAGGGAGGGTATCTAATTGTGAGAAGAATGGAAATGAAGATTTACAGCAGAGCCAGCTTGCAAAAATCCCAATACTTCTCTTCAGAAATCATATGGGAAACAGGAAGGTCAGAAAAATCTGTCCCTTGACTGAACTTAATACACTTATGTGTCAACTCAGAGGGCTTTTATGGGCTATCAGACATGCAGGAAAAAACTGATAAATTACAGAAGTATACATAAATACACCTGAGAGCAGAAGTTGTATATCTGATACATAACAAGCTATTTCAACTGTGAGGCAGCCATCAGCAAAATTCTGTGAAAGCCAAGGAAAGACAGACAAAACACCTATTTTAAAACTACAGATAAGAGAGCAAGCACTGACTACAAGGCAAAATGATGTGAGAGGCACTGTGTTCTGAACAAGAAATGGCTCCATAGCTTACAGACTTATCCAAGAAGAACAATGATCTTTTATGAACACTTTATAGGCTTGACATCCCATTGAATTTTATGTATCTCCAAACAGTGCCTTGGCCAGCTTCTCTGATACCCAACTGATCTTAGAATTGCTTCTGAATTTCTCAGGACAAGCGTAGATCAGAAGAAGCGGAAGACTACCTGAAGACTGGTCAAAAATACCACTAGACTAAACAGAAAACAAGAAACCAGCGACAAGATCTGAGGATGCTGGCTGGAACTGGAAACTAGACTAGGTAATATTGCAGAGAAAGACTGAATCAACTAGGTTGATTTATACAGTAAATATTGGAAGATACAGAAAATTCTGGTATGTAGCTGAAAATCACTGCAAATTCTGGGGTGGAAGAAAACTGAACAAAAGGACTGAGGAAAAAAATGCCCCTCTCCAGTTTTACTATTTTACTATTACTCCCTTAGTCATAGCTATTTTTGGCAGAAAAATCACAAGAGATGCAAGACTTTTCCATGGCCAAGGACAAGAAGCCTGAAGGTAAAGTGAAGCACAAGCCATCCTGCTAGTTTCTTGACAGCATATTTTTCAGCCAGGTCAAAGCAAGAGAACTGGAAGAGGAAGAAACTGGTAGAAGGTTCTAACACCATAAACCCAAAGGTCCTGGTGCTCCCTACTGCTGGAAAGAGAAGGCCTGTCGAGCATCCAGAGGTTCAGGAGGTTGAATGGGAGAGAGGAAGGTGAGCGCAGAAGTGAGCTGCACGTTCCTGCTAACCTCAGGCTCTTCACTGTTGTGCTCAGGCTTCTGGTTGGCACATGCACTACTGTACAGACTAAAGGTTGGCTATTTTAAATGCTTGGTAATTTACCTTGGGAACTCTTCAAACAAGAAAACCTCCTAGCCT